AGGTAAGAATCTGGTTGGCTCTCAGCTCCCCCCACCCCCACCCCGGATAGATTGGGATTTTCATGTTTCTTGAGTTGTTTTTGTCAGTTATATTTCATTAGGACGCTTTGTAGCTTCCAAAACTTTATTGCTGTTGTCTCCTCCCTAACCTCCTTGTATTTGTTGGTTTATGTTTTAAAGAAACCCCTTTATTGTAAATTCAGTGTAATTTTAGCTACGAGTGTGTATGTGCGTGTGTGGGTTTTCATACTGACCAGAAAAAGCATTTGATTTGAGTTGGCTATGCTCCTTGGGTCAGGCACATGTTGTCTCTGGCCTGGGTAGCCAGGCAGGACATGTAGTAAAAAGATTTTAGTGGTCCGCTTTGTGCATCCCGCCCTACCTGCCCAAGTACACACCCTCAAGCTTGACTCCCAGCCTCAGTTTCCTGCCAGGTCTCTCAGTTCCTCCAGAACTGGAATCTCATCCCTGGCTCCCAGCTTCATCTCACCAAGAAGGAGGCAGAACTGGCAAGAGTCTTTCTGAATTTAAGTAGTTGTGGTTTCATAATAGTGACCTTGAATTGCACTACTGCTCATGGCCTTCCAGTGGGGTGGAAGCGTATAGGCCAGAGGCTGGGGTTTTAGGAACCTGAGTCTGATGGCCACTATGTTCACATGTGGCGAGAGGAAGTGCTGGCCTCTCTCCAGTTTTGTCTAGCCTAGCAATGCCTACCTTTACCTTTACCTTCTTTTTCTCCCCAAACTTCTGACCTATGCTGTCCCTATGAGCTTCCTCCTTCCCTTTCTCTTCTTGTGTTGGTGGCATTTCCAGGCTTCAGCCATCCCAAATCTGCTCCAACTGAACCTAGGTTCAGATTTAAGTCAACCTGGTTCTAAGAGCTTCATGTGTGCCAACTCACTTAATCTTCACAACAACTCTATTATTCCTATTTTACAGATTTTGAAACTGAGGCACAGAGAGGTTAAGTAAACTTGACCAGGGTCACACAGCTATTAAGGCAGAGTCTAAATTTGAATCTGAGCAATCTGTCTCCAGATTACATCTTTAAACCACTATGTTATAGGGCACTCATGAAGCACATCCATGTGCCAAACACTGTTTTCTGAGCTATCTACATATAAACATGTGTAAATTAGTATACACATATATACCCATGTAATCCTCACAGAAACCCTAGATCAAGCAAACAAGCAGAAAGGAGTATATTGATGATCTGAACAACAAAATGGACAACTTGATCTGGGGGTGCGTGTAGAATGCTGCACCCAATGTTCGGAGAAAACATACCTTTTAGTACCGGGAATGTTTACAAACATTAGCCATAAAACGAGTCTTAACAATGTTCAAAAGTTTCAGAATCATACAGACCACATTCTATGATCACAATATAATTAAGTTGGAAATCAATAAAAAAATAACAAAAACTCACATATTTAGGAATTTAAAGGCACGTTTAAAAACTTATCAATCGAAAAATAAATCATAAATAAAGGTGGAAAATATTTATAACTGAATAACAAGGAAAATACAATATTTCAAAACATGTGAGAGTCAGCCAAAGTGATGCTTAGAGAAAAAACTGCAGTCTTAAATGCTTATTTTATGAAAAGAAGAAAGTTTGAAAATTAATAAGCTTGGCATTTGATTTAAGTCAGGAAAAGCAATATAAGATAGAAGCAAGGAAAATAAGAGAGAAATAATATATAGAAGAGCAGAAATGTGTAAAGCAGAAATCACTCTCAATTCGGAGCAGCTCGCAACACTCAGTCTCTCTGAGGATTAGAAGACGGAAAGGGGGCCTTCTGAAACAAGTGAGCACAGGGCTGGCACACACACCTTCACATCCACCTCTTTTCTATTTTAAGCTTATGTGGATTTCACAGAAAGGATTAGAGGATACTTGCGTTTTAAACGACATTTATTTTTTCTACTTATTGAAAATATTCAAGGAAAATTTTCAAAGGAAAATTTGGAAATATAGAACAATGTAAAGAAAAGAAATATAACTTATAATCCCATCATTAGGAGATAATTATTAACCATTAATATTTGAGTATTATTCCAGTCTTTTTTTCTATGTATCTGAAGGTTTGTACATGTCTACATGTAATTATATGGTTATTTAAAACTTTGGGCTCAAACTGCACAGATAGATTTTTAGCCAGATTTTTACTTAAAATTGCATCATCAGCATATTCACTTTAAACGCAAAATTTGGGGAGGTGTATAAATGTTTAGTTTCCTGATAGATAGACTCTACTGTATTTGACCGTGCCCCTGTTTTTAGAAAATGTTTCCAGTTCTGTGGTGGAGTCATTCAGCCGACATCTATTCATGGTCCCTCAATGTATGGTACCATATTGAATCTAGACATGGTGGAGACAGTCCTAATGTGTTTGGCAGACTGGTGGGGTTGACCTGCCAGAATTTGTTTACAAGGTGTCTGAGGAGTCTTTGGGAGAACTAAAAAAAAGAGGGTGCTGGATATGACACGCTTGTGGGCTTGAAGGAGTAATCACATACTCTCTGCATGTTGGCTTCCTTCCTCTTCCTCTGATTATTTTCCTGACAGCAATGCCTAGATTGTTTCATTCTTGGTTTCCTGGCTCAAATTCTCAAGGAAGAGTGACCACCAAGCTCGTTTGGGCAGTAATTCACTCTCAGCTATTCAGAGGCCACTAGGGTGACAAAAGGCTGCCCACGGCTTTGGTGCCTGTTCCAGTTGTGTCGGCCAGGTCCAGGGCATGGGGGTCGTGTGGTATACAACATGGCTTGCTTTCAGGATGCTTGCTTCAGCAAAGGTTGTAGACAGGGCAATTCCCCTTAAAGGAGGCTGTAAGCTGAGCAGGCACAAAGGAGGGAGGAATTTTCCAGACTACTGGCTCCTGCTGCCCAGCTTTGGCACAGAGTAGGTGTTGGCAGGGCATTGTTGACAGTGTCCACAGAGAAAATCAATGGGGAAGGGGCAGAAATGTTAAGGCCCAGTGACTCTACAACGGAGACAGGTGCTCAGCAGAGCGACCACGGAGAGCAGAAGGGCCTGGCATGAATATCCAAAATTGTCTACTATGTCTACTTTGTGCTAGGCCCTATGGATGATGGGAAAATAGAAGACATGGTTGCTATCCTCAAGGATGTCGTGGTAAGCATAGGAAGAAAATTGATAAATGTTTTACTTAAAATTTTTTTATAAATACAAGTAGTGGTAACTCCACATGACACAGCTATCAACTGGTCAATGGTCACTTTCTCTCACCTATTGAGCATGTCCTCAACTGTTCATTTATTTCACGGCTACCTCTTATAGGTGACCACACTCGTTAACAAGAGTGACAAAATAATGCCAAGAGCTCAGCTAGATTACATAAGTTTATATAAAACATTGTTTGGCTTATCTGTCTCACTGCTTCCTTCATTGAACATTGAAAGAAGTGTTATTTTGTGGCATTTATAGATACTCAAGACTGGAAAACATAGAAGAAACATATGCCTTTAGAGGTTGGAAAAACAGCAAAATTTTTTAATAGTAAAAATATGGGTTTTTAAAAAGTGTTTTAACAGTGAAACATAATAAAGAAAATTTGGAAAATATAAAAAAGTAGGAAGAAGGGTCACCTGTGGCTCAAATCAACGGCAGCTGACATTTTTGTGTCAATCCTTCTAGATTTAGTTTTTGTCTTATATTTTGATTATTTGGTGTTTCATTTGTTAGTTTTAGTTAAGCTTATACTGTAAACATAAATTTGTATGTTTTTCACACAGCAGTATTCATAATCTTTAAAACATCGTTTGCAATGACTGTATAATATTATCAGTAATGAACCAGTCTTTATTTAATCCTTCCACTAAAGTTAGACTTTTGAGGTATTTCTAATTTTCCAGAATATTAACTAATGTTGAAATATATGTATTTGTCTAAAGTTTTATCTTGTGTTCTTATTTCTTTCCATGGTTTAGATTATTGGCGATGAATTTGTCTGATCAAAGGGTATTAAGATTTCTGAAGATCCTGACACATATTACTTAGAAAAAAAATCTCAATGGAAGGGTGGTATAATTGGCATTTCCAGTGAGGACTGTAAATTTCACAAGTGGGAACAATAAACACCAAGAGGAGAAAGCACAGTAATTTGAATATTGCCCTCAAGTCTAGACAGTTGACATGAGACTTGGATAGATGGCCAAATCCTGATGATGGCAAACATTCCTGTCCTTATTCAAATGATTCCAGGCTATAAAAAAAGGAAAAACAAAGTGAGTAAAGTAGTGCATTTGGATAGGTTAATGATCCGTAATCCAGGTAGCAACTTAAAGTTGTAGTTCACATTCAAAATATGATAGAATAGAAAAATATCTACTTGAAACTATGAAGAAAGGTATCATGCATTGTACGCTGTGACTAAGACACAAGATATCTTGTTCATGGTTTCTCTTCACTCTGGGCTTGTTGGATAGGTTCAGGAATTTTAACCGTAACTAAAGTAACGTCAGTATTTTAGATGAAGCAGAAGTAGTTTCAATAGGATAAAGACCTATTTCCCTTCTTCAGAACCACTCACTAATGACTCAGTATAAAGAAGGATTATTAGTTGAATATAGCAGTATTCAAAAGAGAAATTATTTCAATGGGATAAGGTTGTGAGCCTTCAACTATTTTATTAATGGGGAAATTCTCAATAAATGCTAAGACTTCTTTTGCTTTGGGTTAATTCTACATAGAACACTGAAGTGGTGCTCATTCAAAATACTTGTGCTGCTTTCACCATTCAACACAGAATGCAGGTTTTACAATTATTCCATTGATTCAATCCACATAGACAAACCAACAGACACATTGGAATACGGAAAAAATTGAGATGTGAGAGCTTGAGTAAAAATGAGGGCAATAGAAATGGCAAGAAATGATGGAGCTCGAAAAACCTTCCAACAAGATTCATTGAATCCTGGGCAGCAGAGGTAGAACGGAGGAGGTCTGGGCGCCAGTGGGGGTCTGTTACCTGGATGATGACTGAATAGGTTCCACACAGTATCTTGGATAACTGAATGACTACTCTGATGAGGCAGACGATCACTTGAAGCCCACTGAGAGCTATGAGAATGGAAAACAAAATGATATTCCACTCCACAACATGCGCAGGTTCAAGGCACTGAATCCATAGGCTGGAATCTGTAAGGAAACTGAGAGAGGGAAACGGTCAACAAGACCTATGACCAAGCCTAAATACTTGGTCCAAGGAAGAAGGCTGCAGATATTTATATGTTTGGGAAATTACTGCATATGGTTAAAATACATATTATTAAATATGAATTAACATATTTTAAAAAATCATTCAGATACGTATATTGAACACGTAGTATGCGTAATACTGAGCTATGCTTATTATAAACATGGTGCCTGCCTCAGAGACAATTCTAATTCAGTTAGAAGGCAAGACACATACTGAAGACTTCAGTAGCAATGAAGGGCAGCACATGCCAATACCAAGAGAGGTAAGGATTGCCCATTCCCCAGGAGTCCAGAAGTCAGCCTGGGCTGTTGGGGATGAGGCTGAGTTTGCACTGGACATAAAACCATACAGGTGGCAAAACAGCAAGCAGAAAGGCTGCTAGATATTCCTAGCCTCCATCCCAAAGCTCTTTAGATCAGTGGTTCCCAAACTTGAGCACGCATCAGGATTATCTGGAGGGCTTGTGAAAATGCAGATTGCTGGGCACCGCCCCAGAGTTTCTGACTCAGCAGGTCTAGACAGGACTCAGACTTTGCATTTCTCACTTCCCAGCTGATGGGCTTGCTGGTCTGGGGTGCACAGTGGGAGGACCCCTGCAGTAGAACGTTGCTGTTCTGCAGCTCTTTAGGAGATTCAGATTATGAGGTGGAAAAGTAAACAACAGAACAGTTCCTTCAGTCTAGCAGAGAATGGCAAGAATCAAACCACTTCCAAGAAAATCGTAAAACCAACTGGATCCACCTGACTGACTTTTGCTCACTTCCTGGTCTGCCACGGCCATTAGCACTTCTCCTAAAGGTGACAGACAATCTGTTCAACGAAGTGGAAATGGAAAACTGGTCTCCTCAAAAAAAAAAAAAAAAATCCCCCAAACGAAAACAATCAAACCCGTTTACAGGGCAGAGCTGCTTATAAATATCTTGTCAATAGCAAGATGCTTTTTCTCAAACAGCAATCCGGGCACCCCGCGTACCAGCCAAGAGCCCTGGGCATTGGCACCTGTGGCAGAAAGGGGTGAATTCTGCATTTTGGTGACCATCACCAGACCTCTTTCTTCTCTTTGTTTTTCTTTCCCTCCCCTCCATTTCTCTCCTATTACTTTCCATCCTCTAACTCTCTCTTTTCTCCTTTTCTTTATTTCCTACTCTCTCTGCTTCAGGACACTCAGAGGCATTCTGAGAATTTCTTGATATTGCTAATGGCCCTTAGGTCTCAAGTGTTTCCCACTTGAACATGCAGTCATAACTCCTGGGCGTGTAGGATCTTGGGCAAGAGACTTTACATCTCTGACCTCAAGTCTTATCTGGACACGGGCCCTAGGGTTATTGTGAATTAGTCAGTGAGAGGTATGTAAAAATGCCTTGGAACCTGTTAAGCACAGTACAGTAATTTCCTGCTACCATTGCCCCAGACCCGCTTCCTACACCCTCATCCTCCTAACTCAGTCCCAGTCACCACGGAAGCTAATCCCTTCAAGATCCTCACTCTAGACTCTTCCCAGGACATGCTCTGCACAGATCATCCAACACTGTAAAGCAAGATGACTTGCAGGGTTTCTATTCTTCTCAAAGACTGTGGTACTATTCCCTCTTCCTGTGGACCGTAATTGCACCGGCGGGGTCTGGGAGGAATAGAGCAGCTTGCCCTGATGCCCACGCCCTCCACAACCTCCACAGACGGCTCTATCACAGAAGTGACTTCACGGTGTTGTAATTCTATCTATGTCTGTATCTGTGTCTATTTCCTCACCAAATTGTGTGCTCTGAGAGCACAGATTGTGATTTATTCGTCTCTGCATAACCAGGTCTAAGGACTAAGGCAGTGCCCGGCATGCTGCAAAGATCAACTAATGCTTGCTGAATGCAACTGATTCAGAGTCCTCACTGGCCACTATGCCAGCGACTGGACCTGCTGGCCACCTGGCTGATGGAAGACATGATGTGGCATAAAACATTATGAAGGTAATGAGGTTAATAATAAAACCTAGCATGTCTTGAGAATTGATTAAATCTAATTTGTGCATCACTTCCATTTAATCCTCGGTTCTCTGAGGCAGAAATGATTATTATCTCCATTCACAGAGGCTCAGAGATACCCAGGGATCTGTCTAAGGTCACACAGTTTGCAAGTAGGAGATAGGTGACTTAAACCTGGATCTATAAGACCTGTGCTCCAAGGTCATGTTTACTCTAAGGCTTCCATCTCAGCAGAATGTTCCACCAGGTCTGTGTGCACTCCTAGACGGAAGTGAGCCTGTGTAATATATCTGTGATTCTCTAGCACCTAGTCCAAGACTAGGACAGAGGAGGTCCTCGGTAAACGTTGATTGAATAAATGTACAAGTGAATAGCTGACCGTACAAGTTTAATATTAACACCTGCTGCGCCCAGAATTTGCCAAGCCTTGGAGACTTTTCTAGGAGAGCCGAGACAGCTTCCCTCCAAACAATGTTTCACCTCCAAACATTTTAATGAAGCTGGAAACAGGTGAATTCAAATATCAAAGGCAGCTTAAAGGAGGGATGGAGAGGCAGATGGGCAGTCTGAGATTCTTGCACTGAAAGGGGGGGCCTCTTTGGTTTGGAGTGGGGAAAATTCCAGGGACTGATGGCATAAAAAAGGATTTCTATATTAGGTCCCCTTTCCAGAGCCCCTTCAATCCCACAGGAGTGTCTCCCCTAAGTGCTCAGAAAGACCTGGGGTTATTTTCTAGGTTCTCCTAACAGGAGGGAGAGCTCTGCTCACAGCAAGCGGCACCTTGTGGGAGTTTCAGAATAAAGGCAACAGTGGGCACAGAAGTAGCTCTGCATGCAGGCCTAGGTGAGCGTGTAAGGCCTCAAATAGATGAGGGCCTTGAACAATAAAATCTGTCATGGGGAGTTGAGGAGAAAATGCAGCTTCCCCAGGGAATGGTACAGACACCCCTCATTTTGTCCCATTAGAATTCTGAGCACAGGACAGGTTCGGGGGAGAGTCGGTGTCTCTCTCCTGTGTCCCTATCTGGGCTCTGCTGCCTCTGCAGGTGCTGGTAGGCCAACAAGCCTGGCCCAGGGCCAGCGTGAGACGCTCTGTGATCCAGGATTGGGTCCTGCAACGTCTGACTGAACTACCAGGCTTCTGAGCAAGGCCCCTCCCCAGACTCTTCTTCCACATGCTGGATACGCTCCTTGCTCCTTCCGCAAACTCCTGCACCTGGTCATGTCCTTGGACCTCAGGCTGCACTGTGCGGCTCACCCTGCCTCCTTCTCTCTCTGTAACCCGGGCTGGTATATCCCTGGGGGGCACCACCCAAGGGCGCTGTGATTCTTTCCCAACCACGCCCTTTCACATCTATAAGAGACCACATGTCCAACTTGGCCACAAAGCAAGACTGACTTCCCAGAACCACTCAAGTCCCAGGCTCCAGCAGTTGCCAGACCACAACCACCATGAAGCTCTGCTCTAAAGTATGGGAGAAACACGTCTTTCATTTGGATAGCTCCATGACAGCCTCAAAATAATGAATGCACATGTCATTAAAAGACTGGAGAAAAAAATACCTAAACAAAGATCTGTGCCACTGCATACTGGTCTGGATATTAGTAAAGTAATAGGAAAATTCTGCACTAAGGTAGCCACATGGCAGCCCAGAGCGATGATGGAAAATGAGCAAGACCACGAAGCCAGGTGTTTCTGACTGTCCTGCCTCTTCGATCTGGGGAATTAGTTCTTACCGTCCCGCGGTGCCTTCAAAGGCGTACTCCCAGCCATGGAGGGTGCGGCAGTATGGGCCCTGGACCAGGCCCAGAGCAGATATGACCAGGCAGTATCCAGAGCAAGCAATTCCAAGGGCAGAGAAGATAATCGACAGCAGTGTCTAAATTAAACACGGAAGAAGTAGGTTAGTGCCGTAGAATGAGACAGGAGATTTTGTGGATAAATGATCAGACAGGTGCCTTCTCTACTCATCTGAGCCAGCTGTCCATCTAACTAATACCGAATGTCCGTGTAGAAATGGAAGCATTTAATCCAAACCCACCTGATCTCAAAAATAAGTTTTTAAATGACTTTTTGCTTGATATTCCACAGTGGAAACTAGTTAATTTACTAAATGTGTATTTTTCTGGAATTTTGATATCAAAATAATGATCACCTCTTACATAAGTGCAGTGAAGGGATCTGATCAATCAATCTATACTTATTGTTGAAGACTTTATTTTCTAGGTAGGGCGGGTTTGCTAAGAATCACAGCTATGCTCCCTGCTTTTCTCTTATGAAGACGATGTTTGGAGAGCTTCACAGACAGGAATGTGCAGGGAAATAGCAGGCGTTAGCCCAGATGGTCATATTTATATTCAAGTGAGGATGGGATTGATGGGGAAGAGGCTGTTTTCATTTGATGAGAGAGAACGAGCAATGTTCACTGGCAGATCCGTGGGAGCCGAGTTGTGAGAGTGAGTAGATCAGTTTGATGTAAGAGGGGTTCCAGCAGAGGAGCAGCAGAAGGAAAGTCCGCGAAGACCAGGCTGCCCCAGTGCTGCTGCTGGGAAAACAGGGCCGACAGGACACAATCCAGCCCTTGAGTTGCCTACGGTGAGCGCAGCTCGGCAGATCTGGGCGGAAGACGGCCTTGAATGCTGGGTCAAGGAGGCTGGACTCCATCCTGCAGGGCAAGTGGCTTTCCCCCATAACCCTCTATTAAAATTTTTTCAAATCTACAAAAAAGTTGCAAGTGTAGTACAATGAACCCCTAAACCTTTTGCCTAGACTCATCGTTCGTGACTATTTTACCATTTTTGCTCTCTCTCTCTCCCTCTCTCTGTATGTATATGTATGTATGTGTGTGTGTGTGTATATATATATTTACACATTTTTGTGGCTGAACCATTTGAAGTAAGTTGCAGACATTGTGATTTCTCACCCCTAGACACATCAGCACGTATCTCCCAAGAATAAAGACGTCCTATTATTCTCGAGCTGTTTTTCACTTTTTGGTACAGGATCCAAGGAAGGTTTATGCACAAGGTTACTCTGTAGATAATCTCTTTAGTTTCCTTTAATCTACACTAATCTCACTGCCTTTTTGTTTTTCAGGATATTAAGTTGTGTTTGAAGAATCCTAGCCAGCTGTCTTCTAGAATGTCCCACTTTCCGGCCTCTTCTGGTTGTTTCCTCCCCATTGGACTTGGGTTAAACATTTTGGCAAGAACACTTGCTTGGTGTGTGTACGCAGTGGGCCTCTCACTGATTTTGGTGACGTAGAGTTTGATCTCTTGGTTAAGGCGGTTTCCTTCAGATCTATAAACGTGTTTTCCACTTTACAACTAATAAGTAATTAGTGAGGTAATTCTTTGAGACTGTGTCGTATCCTGCCCCCTAAAGACATTCCACGTGGTGGATTTATCAGCCGGTGATGATCCTCATATCTGTTGATCACCAGTTCTCACAATAACGGTTGCATTGCACCACTTTTCCAATTCTATCATTTCTCCTGCCTTTATAAGTTACCATTTTTCTGCACAGAGCAACTTCCATTTCCCGTTTCTCTCTCCTCTGCCTCTCTCTTTCTGTATGACTGTAGACTCATGGATTTTCTAATTCAATGTGTTATAATTCATCATTGTTATTATTCTTTTGAATGCTCAGATGGCCCAAATATGGCCAAGGGGAACATCCTTTCAAGTCAATTCCTGTGTCCTTTGACATATCCTTATCATTCTTTGAACACTTCCTTGCTTCCTGGCCCAAGATGTCCCAAGTTCATTTTGAATTTATGCTGCCTTAGACCTAGAATAAACTATTTTTCCCCCAAACCATGCAATTGTTTTTGAACAAGGAAGGGATATGACCAATAATTGATTTTGGAAGATTGCTCTGGCAGTGGTGGCATACCAGCTGGAAGTGAGAGAACCCAAAAATAAGGATTCCAAGTGGAGACAACTTCAAGTTGAGAGGACAAAGACTTGGAGGAAAGGACATTAAGGAGGAAATGAACGCCTGGAAATGGACTGAAAGAAAAATTCTGGAGTTTGGGACTTGGATGTAAAGGAGACAGAATAGGGATGCCAAGAAGGGTAGTTGAGTTTGGGAGAAAAGTTGTTAGTTTTAGAAATGTTGATTTCAAGTGAGAGTAGCACGGCCACACAGAAACATACAATAGCCTGTTGATGATAAATTCAAAAGCTGAGACCAGAAAAAAGAACAACAAACTTGTGATTTTAGGGATAAAAGATACCTGAAATTATATTTCTCATACTGATTTTAATGGAGTTTGCCCCATCACAAGGTGAGATAAACAGAGCTACTTTTTTTTTTTTTTTTACCGTGGATTACTGTTAGTTATACTTTATAAAGAAAATTTACCTGTTCACCAATGCCATCTTTGCAAAAGGAGGAAGGATATTTTGAAAAGATTAAGCTCATTCTTCACCAAATTTACTCTTAAGCAGTTCACTGGAAATATCAGTGAAGGATTCATTCATTTCGGGAAATTGGCAATCATGGCACAACATACACGTATGTGCACAGACACAAATTACGTGCAGCGTGTGATAGAGATCATTGCACAAGCCAGGGAAGTCTCAAAATAAAATGGGAATGAGAATCTCTCTGAGTCACAGTTTCAACACTTACTTCCCCTAGCCCAAAGCCCTCAGTTTTGCCAATTCCTCACGAATTTACTGTTTCTTTATCGAAAAGGTGTAGAAGCTTGCTGCTCTGGTCACTTCCTCAGGTCTTCATTCTTACGCGAACTCTCCCAAGTACATATAAAAATTCAATAAAATTTTTATGCTTTTTTTCCTAATTGTTTTACGTCACTTTAATTTTCAGACCCAGCCAGGGACCCTAAGAAGGTCAAACTTTCCCCTGACTAAAAAGTGAATCTTGGGGCCAGCCCCGTGGCGTGGTGGCTAAATTCTGTGTGTTCTGCTTCTGTGGCCCAGGTTTGCAGGTTTGGATCCCAGCGTGCACCTATACCACTTGTCAGCCACGCTGTGGCGCTGACCCATGTATAAAGTGGAGGATGATTGGCAGGGATGTTAGCTCAGGGCTAATCTTCCTCAAGCAAAAAACAAGGGAGATTGGCAACAGATGTTAGCTCAGTGCTAATCTTCCTCAGGAAAAAAAAAGTGAATCTTGGGTGACCTCAATTTCCGTTTCAAAGCTTCAGAAGTTACAAACTGGTGCAGACTCAAATTTGGCCTGAAAGATGTGCTTTATTTAGTTTAAATGTGAATTAATTGCCAATATTTTATAGTTGAGAAGTTTTACACAAAAATCTGTATTTCTACTTTTTATTGAAAACTGAGAATTCTTGCCCAATTTCATTATGGTGACAAATGGCTGGTCTTGGGTAACAGCTCCCTCCCTTCCTTAAATGGAAATTTTGCTCTGATGCCTACCCTACTCACTTTTTTCATTTCCATCAGGCATTTGGCTTCTGGGAGCACATGAGTAGTGACCCCTATTCCAGAGCCTACTTTGAAAGAGCCAAGCAGGAAATCCAAGTAATCCTCTTTCCCTTCCTCCTGTTCTTCCCATTGAGATGTCGGTCATCTCATTCAATATTGACTCCTGTTCGGACTCTAGACTATTTCTAGCATCCATTTGCACTGGAGATGCTAATAGTGAGTTAAGGCAAAATTGAACATGCTGAATTTTATTGGCACATACATTTGTTTTCTAGAAATTCCCTGAGTTTCATAGCTTAAAGTTTACCTGAATCCATTGTAATTTACCTAGGCAATTTTGAAAGCAGCTACTGGGGGATGTCTGAGTCGATTGGTTAAGAAAACACACATATACACCCACACACACAGTGTATTTCAATTTTTCAATTCTTCTCCACTGGGGCATAGTGCTAAATTAAGCAACTAATTTAGTCTGCCAAAGGTATCAGTCCAAGGAAGCTAGCCATGACATCTTGGCTGCACATGAAAATCTGGCTGCACCAAGACCAACGATGTCAGAGCATCTGGGGGTGGGATTCCAGCTCCCAGCTCCCAGATGCCTGCACTGTGCAGCAGAGTTCCAAATGCCTACCAACCGCGGGCAAAGCTCCTCCCAGTTAATAAATCACATGACCTCTTTGAGCTACGGTTGACCCTCATATGAAAGAAGAGTAACAATGATCTAATTCACCCGGTAAATGGGGAAGAACTGTAAAGCGCTATGCAGGTGCGAATAAACAATGATGACAAGGAGGAGAACAGTGGTAATGTGGCACCGGGCGCCTGCCTGTTGAGCACTGACTTAGAAAATCTGGTTCTGTTATTCTCTCTTGACTCTATTTTAACCATCTTTAAAGTTCCAATTTGAAAAATGTACATCACATATACCCAGTGACATGGATGAATCTAAAAACCATTACGCTGGGGCTGGCCCCGTGGCCAAGTGGTTAGGTTCACATGCTCCACTTCAGCAGCCCAGGATTTCCCTCGTTCGGATCCTGGGTGTGGACATGCCACCACTCGTCAGGCCATGCTGAGGCGGTGTCCCACATAGCACAACCAGAAGGACCTACAAGTAGAATATACAACTATGTACTACAGGGCTTTGGGGAAGAGAAGAAGAAGAAAAAAAGAAGATTCGCAATAGATGTTAGATCAGGTGCCAATCTTTAAAAAAATAAAAACCACTTTGCTGTGTGGAAGAAGCCAGATACAAAAAACAAATCCTCTATGATTATGTTGATATAAAATACGAACTAATCTATAATGACAGACACAGATCAAAGGTTAACCTTTTGGCAGCGATGGGAATGTTCTGTACCTTGACTGTGATGATGATTTCATGGGTGTATTCAACAGTCAAAACTCATGGAATTGTAGACTTTTAATGAATGCCATTTTTTGTACATAAATTAGTCCTCAATATGGTAGATAACGGAAAAAAATAGACTCACAGACCCCCAGTTAGGAAAAGGTGGTGTTATTTTCTAATTTCCTGTATCCTTAAATCCTGAATTTCCGGAAGAACGTCAGCAGAACAAAGATGGAGGAAAGACGGTAAACAAAGTGGGAGATAGTTTTTGGAGTAAACTCTTGGGCTCTGAACGAAAGGATCGTGATGAGGCTATGAGAGTATCAATATTTTTGTGTTTCTGGGTGACAGAGAAGAAAGCTGGAGCCCACTCAACCATCCTCAAAAAACTCTCTCTCTTACCATGTATTTTTTGCTGCAGTTTTCACTCTGGCAACACTTACAGTTGTTATTATTCTCCAGTACAAGAAGAACTGCGGCTACTATAAGCATCTATAGCAGGGAAGAGAGAAAATATCAGAAATGGAATACCAGGTTACATTCATGCTCACAATCGGACCACAGGATTTGGCGCATAGGCTCAGGGTCAAGTAGACCTGGGTTCGAACGCTAGTGCTGCCATTTTTTAGCTGCATAAAATTGAGAGTCTTTCCTGTAAAATGGTGTTGAGAGCTCACCTCAATGGGTCCTTATGAGCTTTGCATGTAAAAATTTGAACACAGTGCTTGATTCATAGTAAGTGATTGATAAATGTTGGCTATTATTATCATGGCTGTCAGTCATCAAAAGCTAACGATCAACGAAGAGTAAATGGTATGGACATGGGAACCACCCTGCAGCCAGCTGCCATTTCTCGCTGACTCCACTGTGGACAGCAAAGGAAAGTCATTCACCAGACTTTGTGGTTTGCCAGCCGCTCTCCACTGACTGCCATCTGGGAATGGAGGTAACAGGCACAGTTAAGGTGAAACTACATATCTTAATTCAAAGCAAAGTAAGCCCAATTTCCCCATGCATTCAAGCCATCTCAGGTTCAAAATTTTGAGTGTTTTGTCTGTATCAAGCCAACAAACTGGGAGAATTCAACGTATTCTACCTCCCTTTCTTGGTATCCTAAGCAAAGGGCTCAAGTTCTGGAAAGAACATGGATTTGTTGAATATTATAATTCCTGGTTGGGGCAGGTATGGACTGTGAATTGCTTCTGGCAAATTCTCCACCTGTCCTTTACTCCCAGTGTTCAGTGCTGAATCTTGAAGCTGAGTTCATTGTTATTTTACTGTTTATAGTTAATAGTTCCAGTTTCCAAATTCCTTCAGCCTTCATTTATTTATTTATCCATTTAATTATTTATCTACATTCCTCTCCTTTCTTCCAAAAGGATTTGATGCAGTAACAATAATGTTTTTCAAGAATCCTAGGGGCCAGCCTGGTGGCGTAATAGTTAAGTTTGCACACCCTGCTTCAGCAGCCCAGGGTTCGTGGGTTCAGATTCCAGGCACAGACCTACACACTGTTCATCAAGCCATGCTGTGGCAGCATCCCACATACAAAATAGAGGAAGATTGGCACAGATGTTAGCTCAGGGACAATCTTCCTCACCAAAGAAAAATAAATAAATAAAAACTTTAAAAAAGAATCCTAGACAATGAAAAATAGAGAACAGATTCTCTCCTGAATGTTTTATTTTACATGGAATTTAAACTCAAGAATCCTATATTCCCCTCCTTTCAACACAATTGATTATTATGGATTTTAATAGATTCTGGCTTAACCTTACTAGTGCTTTGCACTCCTCCATATTAACATGTGTCCAGTATTTCTCCATAAGCATCTTTGCGGTAGGCATCTTTGTCACAAGCATTTTTTTTTTTTTTTGAGATTCTTTTTTTTTTTTTTAAGATTTTATTTTTCCTTTTTCTCCCCAAAGCCCCCTGGTACATAGTTGTATATTCTTCGTTGTGGGTCCTTCTAGTTGTGGCATGTGGGATGCTGCCTCAGCGTGGTCTGACGAGCAGTGCCATGTCCGCGCCCAGGATTCGAACCAACGAAACACTGGGCCGCCTGCAGCGGAGCGCGTGAACTTAACCACTCGGCCACGGGGCCAGCCCTGTCACAAGCATTTTTGATGCATAATTAATTGACAATGAAGCAATTTTGCCATAAAAGTTTAAATAACAAAAAAATAAAAGAGAGCATTAAGACATAATGAATCATGAAAAATCAATAACAAAATTAAAAAGACTTGCTTGTAAAATACAAAATATTCGAATACATTTAAAATGTGTGTAGATTCATAATACTGCACAAATAACTCATTTTATTTTGTGGGTTGTACCTAAGCAGTTGTCTTCGAAGTCTTGTCCATAGTATTATACATTATATTTTTTGTGGATTTGTCTCCTCGTTTGGCATCCACTGTGCTTTTTCTTTTTTGCTAAAATTTCTTCCTTTACTATGAGAGGTATCACTTTCCAAATGCTAGGATGCGTATTTGTAACTGAGCTTTGCGTTACACTGTGAAAGCCGTCTACGCTTTTGTTTGTTCTTGGCATATTTTCACATATTTGTCATAAAAATAAGGATACCATACAAAAATGGAGTCAAACCCAACTGATAACCAGTTATATTATCTTTTATGGCAAAATTGACTTATGGACAACCGGTTATGCGGCAAAAATGTTTGTGGCAAAAATGCTTGGAACAAAGATGTCTGTGGCAATGATGCTTACGGTGAAGGTACCTGGAACCTGTTCCAATCGCACATTGAGGAAACGATGACAAGGCACAGGAAAGCAGGTGCAGTAACTGGCTTCATTATAATACTGGTAGAAATACTTAGATGTAGATCCTGGAGTCCAGTGTCAAAAGAGAAACACAGGCATAGCCTGAGTTGAAAGAGAAATTCCTTTCTTCTTTTGTTGTCAAATTTAACTGCAATACAAAGGGCTCACGAATAATGGAGGAAAATTACCATAATTCCACCACACTCATATATTTTTATGTATTTGTCCCTGGTGCTGTCCCACATGTGTATATTTTGCATAGTTAAAATCACAGTTTATTCACAGTTTTCTTGTATATTTTTTAATGTAACACAAAATATTCATTTTCCATGTTGTTACATCTTCATAATTATACTTTTCATCACTGTATGAAGTGAATGTGCCATAATTTATTTGGCCACTTCTAAGCTGGAATGCTTCTAGTTGTTTACTATCATAAATAATGCTGCCACAAACACCTGGACATACATCTCTTTCCTTATTTTGGATTATTTTCTCAGAATGAACACTCAGATTTAGGATTACAGAGTCAAAAGACATAAACATTTTCATGGATTTTAATATATCATTTCAGAATCTTCTCCAAAAAGCTGGCATTTGTTTATAGAACTGCCACCAACATTCATTATGTACCTATCACATAGCTGCTTCAACAGCGTTGAGTATTAACATTTTAAAGTTTGCTAAAATATATGCAAAATGGCAACAAAATGGAAACTGCTCTCCAACATAACTTTTCAAATATTATAATAATTAAACACCCACAAAGATATAAAGATTTACTAAAACGGATTTTCTTTTACATTGTTGGTGGCGTAGTGAGCTTACAGCGCACAATGTGCTGTTTTTAGAAATGCTCGGATCAGGAAAAGTGTCTTTTCCTCTGAACTGCTGACATGATTCATTATCTGTTTGTCTTTAAAGAGCACAAATTCATTAGGAAAACATTCATGCATTCTTATTGTGGATAATTTGATTTAGTTTTCAAAAACATCCTCCTTTATTCGGGGTGTGATGTCAAACTATTTAATGACGATACGGCCCATCCTTCAACAAGTATTTGTAATCACAGTGGCTGCCTGCTACGTGTTGGTCTCTGTCCTGGGCACTTCACACATGAGATTTTATTTAATCCCCACAATTACCCTGAAAAGTTATTGTCATTATTTCCATCTTTCACATGAGGACGCCGAGGTTCAAAGACCGAGTAACTTGCTCAAGGTCTCATGGCACAAACGACAGAGCTTAGATCTGAACTCAAGTCTGTCTGAATCTCCAAGTCTCTGCTTTTCCACGCTATCTTAACACCCCTCTGAGCTACAGAAATGGGGAGCGCAGACCGAAAATCGGTTCTAGAAAAGACCAATGCCTCTGGAGATTACATAGCTTAAACTGACACACAGCCTTCCTGAGGACATGATACTTCTACAGGCCAGTGTCCTGTACACTGAAACGGAAGTCTGTACAGTGAAAATACAAACTTTGACTAGGACAAATTTTCCGCATCGCTGAAGCTGCATAAATGAGCAGCTCACCGAAAACGAAGCTACTCTCCAAGTCCTAGCGGACACCAGCTCCTCTACCCCGACCCGTCTTCCAAACCTCAGACCCAGGGTTAGTAGAATGCTTTTTCCATTATTCATCATTTGTAGTAGGAACAAGGCAGTTCTTTCTAAAAACTCCCCCTTCTACGATCCCAAGTCTCTGAAGTCACACTTACCATGACACCTGAGAAACAGATTCCTTCAAAGTACCACACGTAGTTGGTGAGCTTATTGCTGGATGCATAGGAAGTTTGCCCATTGGGGAAATACAGTAATATGTTCACAGTTATACTCCAGAGAGCGAGCGGAATCAGCAGACCACTCAGGCAACCTCCACATTTCCGAGACCCCATTCCACCTCGCTCAGAACCTGCAGGAAATTTCAAGAGCGCAGAATTACGCGAAGCTTGGTTTTCTTCCTACCTGCCCTTTTTTTTTTTTTTTTTTTTTTTTTTGAGATTACCTACCACTTTCTGGGTCAGAGCCCTTTACTTCATATTCATGAGGAGCCAGGACTCGGACAGAACTGCCGCCCACAATCTCTCAGCGTGGAAGAGTGGTTTACTGTTTGGAGAACAATAGACGATGATCGACAGCTGAAGAGCTGAGCTGGTCTTCATCCTGTGCCAAAGGAATGCGGTGTTTTTAAAATAAGTCATTTTCCTCTGGATTGGAGCACTAAAGACTTAACCCTGAGCGTGTTTTAAGAAGGAAGTTGGGGTGGGGGTTGGAATTAAGTCTGGCAAATTTCATCCAACAGCGGGTAGGAAGCTAAAGAGAAAACTACCAAGAGAGTCTATACCAGACGTGGCATGTGGCATGTTGGCTCAGATATCCTGACTTTATCTGTCTTTTATTCAGTGGTCTTTATTGTGTGCTCACTGTTCACCAAGCATTGTTCAAACTGCAGGGGGCACAAGAAGGACAAGAAAAGGGACAGACTGGTGGGTGAGAAAAAGGGGACATCACAGTTGGTGAGTTTATTGTGACAAGACCAGTACAGCTTTCCTTCCAAGAGTTCAAATCTGTTATCTCCACCTCTTCGAAAAATAATAACAGCAATAAACTCATATCTTTCTAACTGCTTAGGAAAAGGAGGTAAGAGAAGTTGGGTAATTTGATTAAGACTTTATGAGTAATAAGTTTGAAACAAGGATGTAAGCATCCTCCTTTCCAAATTATCGCCCTAAATTTAAAGAGCCACGGATCCCTTCTAAATATGATGACATGAGGAGAGGGTTATGGGAGGGAATCTTGGCACTGACATGTTAAAGATGATGTAGACAGCGATGGTGAAGATTCAGGCTGCCTGACCTCATTGCCACTCCTTTCTACGGGTAACCTCAGAACCCTGCTTGACTGTCTTGGGTCTCAACTTCCTCAGCTGTGAAATGGGAATTAAAAAATGGTACCCTCCCCAGAAGGATAATGTGAGGGTTCAACAAGATAATGCACACAAAGCACGGTGTCAGTGATATAGAAGGAGTTGGCAATAAACGGGAGCCATCAGTAAAAACAGAAAGGACAATTACAAGAACATAATTGTCAAAATAGTGCAGAGGTCAGGAGTTAAGTCTGCTTGTTTACTCCTCTCGGTACCCTGTATCATGAACTCTTAAAATGTTTATCCTAGAAGTATTTATATTTAATTTGTTGTTGTCCTCCAGAAAGTATTAATACTCTATGACATATACACTTTTAACACAAGAGAATAAAAACATATTTTTAGAGGGGCTGGCCCAGTGGCGCAGCAGTTAAGTTCACACTTTCTGCTTCAGTAGGCCAGGGTTCGCCGGTTTGGATCTTGGGTGCGGGCATGACACCGCTTGGCAGGCCATGCTGTGTTAGGCGTCCCACATATAAAGTGGAGGAAGATGGGCACGGATGTTAGCTCAGGGCCAGTCTTTCTCAGCAAAAAGAGGAGGATTGGCAGCAGTTAGCTCAGGGCTAATCTTCCTTAAAAAAATAAATAAATAAATAAAAATGTATTTTTACATAAATAATTTTAAATTGTGTTACTCATACTTTTTTTTAAATTGAGATGCTTGGAGATGTTTTTGGATCTAAACTAAACAAACTTGGAAACTAGCAGTCTTGTACTATGATGGGTTCCAAAGAGGCTTCCTGGCATCCCCTGGTGGAGGTGTTTTGTTTCGTTTTTTTTCCTCTAGTGTTTTTAAGCAAAATACATCAACTGAGTCTGGTCATTAGATTTTTTTTCCATGGACATAGAAGCAAGCTAAAATCATCTTTACTGGAGCACTTGGAATGATGGGGAGAATAACAACATTTTTGGTTGAGTATTTATTGAGCACCTCCTGTGTGCCTGACACTATCCTAAGAGCTGAGGAGAGAGCAGTGAACAAGACAGTCCGAAGCTCTTGCCCTCACGGAACTTACATTCTACCATAGAGGGGACTCCCAGTAAAAAGATACTTAAGGAAAACAGAGAACTCCTCAGGCAGTGATATATGTGGCTGGGAACGCCAGAGAATGGGGGTGGGGATGTCACTTCAAACACAGTGGTCAGGGAAGACCTTACTGTAAGGTGACATTGGTGCAAAGATCTGACAGAAGTAGAGGGGGTGAGCCATGCAGAGGACTTGGGGGAAAGCATTCTAGGCAGGGAGAACAGCAAGTGTGCAAAAGCCCTGGGGTAGAAGCAAAGCCCAGCGAGGAGACCACTGTGGCTGGAGCCAAGCGAGGGAGGGGAAGAGTAGGAAGGGCCAAGATTAGTTTTGAGTAGAAAAATGACTTGATATGTTCAAAGGCTCACTCTGGCTGTTGTGTTGTGAATAGATCGTAAAGGGTCAAAGAGAGGAGATGAGTTCTGAAGCCATTTCAACAATCCAGTCTTACCATGGATGATAAGGGCTCAGATAGTAACGGCACAGATGGTGAGAAAGGCTGGATTCTGTATATATTTTGAACATAGATCCAGTAGTGCTTGGTGACAGATTGACTTGGGTGTAAGAGACAGAGAGGAGTCAAAGATGACTGCACGGCTTGGGGCCTGAGCAACTGGAAGACTGATGTGTCAGTAACTGAAATGAGCAAAACAGCAAGTTGAGCAGGTTTGGGAGCGGGAAGAGGAGGTGGTCGGTTTCAGGCATCCCAAGTCTTGAGAGACCTATTAGAAATCCAACAGGAAGCGCCACTTAGGCAGCGTGTGTACAAATATGAAGTTCGGGGAAGAGGTCTGGGGTGGAGTATCTGAGAGCTGTCATAATGTTATGAATGGTATTTAAATCCATGAAACACTATAGCAATGAGTGTAGATAGAAAAGTTGCCCAAGGACTAAATCCCAGGCAGTTCAATGAATTAAATTTGGGGACATGATGGGGAGCCAGCAAAGGAGACTGAGAAGTGGCCAGTGAGTTAGGAGAAAAAGCAGCAGCTCATCTTGGAAGTCAAGTTTCTAGTTGCGGAGGAAGCGATCAACTGAGTCAAATGCTGCCTATAGAGCAAGTAATATGGGAGGACTGAGAATTGATGATCGGGTTTAGCATTGTGGAGTCCACTAATAACCTTGATAAGAGGATCTTTAGTGGTGGGATAGACATGAAGTCCAACTGGAGTGGGTTCATGAGAAGAACGGGAAGAGAGGAATTGGAAGCAGAAGAGGTAACTCTTCTGGAGAATTTTGCTGGGAAGGAGAGCAGGGAAATGGGGCAGTAGCTGGAAGGAAAGTGGGAGTCAAGGGAAAAAATTCAATGGGAAAAATTATAGCATGTTTGTATACTGATGGGAATGGTCTTGTTGGAGGATGAGTCAGAGGAGGTGGGGATTGACAATGTAAGACGGAGAGGGAAGAGTTGCTGAAGCCGCAGAGTCCTTGAGTAACTGAGAAGGGATGGAAGTAGGTTCACAGGTGGAGGAGCTGGCTTAGCAGCATGGGCAGTTCAGTCCTAGTAACAGAAAGGAAGACAAAGCGTATGGAATTGGAGGCAGTGGGGAACTTCTAGTTGCCTCTGTTTTCTCAGTGAAACAGCTGGCAGGTTTATCAGCTGAGAAGGAGGATGGGAGAGGATGTTTAGAGGTTTGGAAGGAGAGGAGAAAGGATGTAACAGTTGCCTAGGAAAGTAGGGTGGCGAATGGTCTAGAGAAACATGGCAGAATTACTAGCAGGCACTGAAGGTCCTCTTGAGGTCATGGATTTATAGTAAGACTAGGCAGCACGGTTGAATGTTTTTCCTAGTGTAGTTCAACTGCAGAGGTGTGGGCGGAGAGCAGTAAGAAAGCTGGACTCAACCAGGATTGGGACTTTGTCAGGCAAGTACCATAAAGAGACTGGCAAAGGAATCAAGAACTTAGGTAAGAGAGTGATTATAATGGTGGACTGTGGAACTTAACCTGAGTAAGAACACGAGAGAACGTGAGGAACAGTTAAAAAGGGCTGGATCTGTAGATTGTGTGTCCCAGTGTGGCTGAAGAATTGTTGGCTTTAGATAGCAGAGAGAGAGAGCTGGAAAGATCAGAGGTAGTGATTGAGAAGTGGGCTGCTGGAATTTGAGATTAAGATGTTTCAGGAATTGGTGACGACAAAGTCTAGAGGTGTGTTATGGGTTGAATTGTCTCCTCAAAAATCCATATGTTGAAGCCCAGATCCCCACAACCTCAGGCTGTGACTGTATTTGCAGATAGGGCCTTTAAAGAGGTGATTAAGTTAAAGTGAGGCTGGTAGGGTAGGCCCTGACCCAATCTGACCGGTGTCCTTATAAAGAAGAGGGAATTGGAAGACACAGAGAGATACCAGGGGTGCCTATACACAGAGAAAAGACCCTAGGAAGACACCACAAGAAAGCAGCCATCTGCAAGCCAAGGAGAGAGGTCTCAGGAGAAACCAAACCTGTTGACACCTTGATGTTGGAGTTCTAGCTTCTGTTACTGTGAGAGCATAAACGCCTGTTGTCTAAGCCACCTACTGTGTGGTATTTTGTTTGGCAGCCCTGGCCAACTAGTGCAAGGTGTGACTATGGGAGTGAGTGGCTGGAGTCGGGTGAAAGGCCAGAGGAGTAGGAGAAAGGAACCAAGAGGGCGGGAATGTGAATGACTCCATACAACAAATGTTCAAGTCAGCAATCCTGACGATGGTGGTTTTGGAGAGAATGGCTCCAGTCAGAGAGCCAGGTTCTAAACTCTTGAAGGAACAAAGGGAAGCAACCTTGAGGTGGCATGAACGGGGGTGGGAGACTGCCCCAACGTCGCCCAGCACCAAAATCCACAATCTCTTAGCCAAGACTCAACTGCCCC